CTGCCGCTGCGGTACTCGGTCCAGAAGAGGAAGTTGCTGTAGTGGCACAGCCCGAAGGCATGGTTCAGCTCTGGGCCCTCATACACGATCTGCGGGCACAGGGAGACAGAGAGGCTCAGTTAGCTGGGATGGGTGCTTGGGGACAGGGCAAGGGATGATGGAAGGGGAGAGGAGGGAGGTAATGGCTCGGCTGCCCGACGCTGGGGCCCACGGGACCCCCACTCACCTTCCGCCCGGTGCCGTTGAGATAGACCATCTCGATGCGGTCATAGAAAGCATCCACCCAGTACAGGATTTTGGCTGGGATGTCCAAGCTCAGCCCATTGGGCCACAGGACCGTCTTGGAGGTGATGAAGATGTTGCGGTTGGAACCATCCATCCAGGCCCTCTCGATCTTGCCCCTCTTGCTGTCCTTGGGATCCTCCTCCCAGTCCGTCCAGTACATCCACCTGCCACGGACACAAAGCTGAGCCCTAGCCCTGGTGTCACAGCTCGTGACAAGATACAACCACATCCCTGTGGCCACGCTCCCCTGCCAGCCAGCCCTGCCCACACGGGCACCCGCACCCGTTCAGGGGGTCCACCACGATGGCGCGGGGGTGCGTCATCTTCCCCTCGATCAGCGTCTTCCGTGTCTGGGCAGCCTTCTCCAGCCGTGCCACGCTGATGGTCTTTTTGGGGCCATCATCCGTCCAGTACAGGTTGTTTCCCATCCAGTCCACGGCAATCCCTTCCACGTTGTGGATGCCTTTGGGGAAAAGCCGGAGTGCGTTTGTCACCAGCCAGGAGACAAGAAGCGGAAGCGACAGCTCTATACGATTCACAGTGCGTTCGGCACCGCCCGATCCCGACTCAAACCAACAGGGATGACAGACCCCCAGCCCCGAGGGCACAGGCTGGGCCACTCAGCCACGCACCATCCTTCAGGATGGTCTCCCGCTCCGTGCCATCGATCTTCTGGCGCCCGATGAGGTAGCTGGTGGTGTCAGCGAAGTAGATGAAGCCAGTCTCAGCATGGAAGTCCAGCGCTCGGGGGTTCATGAGGTTCTCAATGGGGATCATGTGCTCGTCTGGCACCTTGGCCCCCATGTCCATCCCACGGATGATGCCCGGGCGCCCCTTCCCATACACCAGGAACAGCTCGTGCTCGGGCTCTGCGGACAGAAGGGGACAGACATGGCCACCAGCCGGGCCAGGACAGTGCCAAGGGGGCGGCACACGGCACCGGAGCCGTCGTGGGATCACAACTACAACACAGAGGCCAGGAGGAGGCAGGAACTGGCCCCCATAGGGACTGCAGAGTCCACGGGCAGCCCACGGCCCCTTGCCCCCCACATTCCCCCCAGTAGGACCAGCACTCACTTTTGCAGGACTTCCCATCGCTGCCCAGGCTGAACCCAGAGCGGCAGTGGCTGTTCCCGAGGAGGCAGATGTCCGAGCAGCCTCCTGGCTTCCCAAACTGATCCGGCTCGCAGGCGTGGCTCCGCACTGCAACACAGAGCAGGGCTGTGGGGCCAGGGGCACCGGAGCGGCACGCGGGTCCTGCACGGTGCAGGGAGCACAGCGGGGCAGGGACACACGTCTGCAACCGCAGGAAACGCTCTCATGGGCTGAGCACTGCACAGGACAGCACAGAGATGGGAAAGGACCTTCCCATGGGAAGGATCCCAGTGGAGAAGGTCCAAGCATGTTCCAACACACTGGCATAGGGCCACACTGCCTCATCCTGCCAGGCCACCCCACATGGGATCACGGGACGAGCCCCAGCACAGGGACAGCCAGCGCTGCCTGAAGAGCTCCTTAATCACACTCCTTCCCCACTCGGAAATCTCCTGATTAATTTTATATTCTGGAAAATGCCGAGCAGGCTGCAGACGCTAAGAGGATTTTAAAGGAGTAAATTGATTAACTGCAGGAAGGTGCTGGGGGTGGAGCAGGCAGACAGGGATGGATGCAGGGAGGGGACGGCGCAGCACTGGTGCCTTTCAGCTCCCTGGAAATCCCTTGGTGCCCGGGAGCACCGGGCGAACACGCCAGCAGCGGGGACTGAGAGCGCGTGGGACCATAAATATTTCAAGATGCCACATCTGCTTCCATATCCCTGCACTCTCTGTGATCCATCAACCACATAGCACAGCTGCCACAGGGATGCTGACATGTCTCTTGCAGGAGACACAGCGATCGCAGGGGGCAGGGTCATCCCAGAGTATTCAGCAGACCCCAGCAGCCTACGGAGCAGGAATCACAGAATCCCAAAATCATTTAGGCTGGAAGAGACCTCTAAGATCACTGAGTCCAACCTGTGACCCACCACCACCTTGTCAACTAGACCAGAGCACTAAGTGTCACGTCCAGTCACACAAGTCCTTTTCCAAGGATCCAAGAAGCTGTTATTCCCAGGTCAGGGTCCCACCTGTGGGCTGGCGCCGCTGGTGGTAGATGTGTAGTGCTCCGCCCTTGTCCACCCGTGTCACCACCTGGTACTCAGTGCTGTTGAAGCGGTTCACACGGATGACACTGGTTTTCTGCTGCGCGTTGGCGTTGTCAGAGTTGGTGGCATACAGGTAGTTCTCAAAGACGGTCAGTCCATACAGGTGTTCGATCTGGAAGGCACGGTGTGGGCATCCACAAGGAATTTAGGAGTCACAAGAGCCTGGCTCCGAGGGGCACAAAGCCCCTGATGCCACCCAGTGGCTCTTGTCCCCATCTCACTCCGGGCATGGGATCATCCTTGCCGGGATCTGTTTGTTCTTTGCTGGCCCAGCAAAGCCAAACTTGCAGACCAGTGCAGCCCAGTACACCGAGATGCAACATACCTCCACCCCACTCCACCAAAAGCCCCTTGCCCCAACCTCCCCCAACCCACTCACCAGGATGCCCTGGATGATGGTGTGCCTGTTCTTGCCCTCATAGTCCACAACCTCAATGTAGTCCAGGTAGGCATCAGCCCAGTACACCAGTCGGTTCACCAAGTCCAAGGTGATGCCGTGGGGGAAGACGATTTTGCTGTCCACCAGCTTGGTGCGGTTCTGCCCGTCCATGTCGCAGCGCTCCACCTTGGGGATCTGCCCGTAGTCAGTGAAGAACACTTTGCTGCAGAAGAGCAAAGGTGGGAGCTCAGAGCCTGGGTGTCACGTTCACCCCGGGGAGAGGGACGATGTGGACAATGCACGCTCGCACCAGTGGGCATGGGGGTGGCACAGAGCTCCAGGGGAGCTTCAACCCAGATGTGTTGGTGTTACTGGAGTAGGTCCAGGGCCCTCCACGTGTACCCATGGGGGTTGTACATGTTAAAACATAACCCAAGGCTAAGCAGAGCTGGGGATCAGCGCCACTGCCACAGAGCCCAAGGGACTTAAGTCACCTGTGGGGCTTGTCTGCATTTGCCCTGCTCAAGACCAGAGTCTCTCTCCAGGTTTCTCTGCCATATTTACTTATTTATGTAAAATACTCCTAATTTTCTGCTCAGTAACACCAGCTCTCTCCATGCAGGCAAGGAGGGAAGCGCCCATCTGGAAAGCAGCAGGTGAGGGGGGAATTGTCCTCTTTACTGTTACTCTGCTCTGCCCAGCCACGACCTTGGCCATGCTGGCTCCCTGCTCCGGGGCCCCGGCAGCTGCTGTGCGTGCCTCAAGGTGCTCCAGTGATTCAGCATCCTGCCTTTCCCATCCTCGGGACTGTGCAGGAGCCAGCTGCTGGACACGCAGGCACGAGGGAGCCGCTCCAGCCACGCAAGGAGCCGACTGTTTCAGCTCCTGAACGCCGAAGCAAAGCCGTGACCGCACAGCCACGAGCTGAAAGCAGCAGCTTAGCCTGAATCAGGCCAGGTATGTCACGCACAACTAAGCCCCACGGAGCTGCTGCTGGGGCAGGAGGAGTAGGATGTGCCCCTGCAGAGAGTAGGGTTTGACACGGGCAGTTACAGGAGACACCCCAGGAGGGGCAGATCATGCTCTTGTCAGCTGTGCCCAGGGACAGTGAATTCCCAGGTTCAGAGGCTGATGTCCCTCAGCACCGTCCCCCTGCAGGACTCACCCCATGGCTGGGTCCAGCGCGATCCCCTTGGGATTGTACAGCTCTAGGTCCAGCAGTGTGACACAGGTGACCCCGTTCTTGTTGCAGACAAAGATCCTGTCATCGATGTCATCCACAAAGTAGAAGTTGCCCGTGAGCCAGTCGATGGCCATCTGCTCCACATCTGGGCCAGGAGAGGGGTGAGGGGGGGTTAGGCAGGGGGAGAGGGAGACAGGAGCCCCCCCACAGGGTCCCTGATCATGTCCCAGCCCACTGAAATCACAAGGAGGAGGAGAGAGGCTGTGGGAGAAGACGGCACCCAAGAAGGCACCAGGACCTACACTGCAGGCACCCACAGCACCCTGTCCTCTGCCACCCAGGGAGACAGGACCTGCTGTGCCACAGGCAGCTCCAAGACAAGCCAGAGCCATTGCTGGAACACTGGGAGAGCATCCTGCAGAAACACCGGGAATGCATCCCACAGGAACACCAGTGGATCAGGGGGAAGCTCTGCAAGGTGGGCACCGGAGGAGAGAGGGAGCAGCAGGGAAGGGGAAGGGATTCTAACCACGGCACTGGGACAGGACACGTCAGCAGCAGTACCAGGAGGGAGTGTGGCAGTGGGGGCCACAGGCAGATCTTGCTGAGCGACGCAGCCCGGACAGAGCTAATCCGGAGCCGCGGGGACACCCTGGGGTCTGGAGCAGGTGAGAGACAGCATCTGGCACACAGCGTGTGCGTATTTAATTAAACCAGTGAAAGCCTGTTAAATCGGATAAACCCAACGCACCCAAATTCCTGCCTTGCCACCAGGTCAGTGCTCAGTGCTGCTCAGCTCCCTCTGCCCCCACCCAGGCCAGAGGCTGCAGTGAGGGGCTGCACTCACAGAGATGCCAAGTGCTTTGAAGGGCTGCCCAAGACCCTGCGCTCCCAACACAGTGGCATCACGGCTGGCAGGGATGAGGCAGAGCAGGGATGGGGGCAGCAGCAGCCCCCCGAGGATAGCAAGACCCAGACAGCCCCAGGGAGCAGGGCCAGACACCACTGAATTATTAACCAACACAGGAGCTGGAGAGGGAAAACATGAATCAAGCCAGGATATTTTGCAATGCCCCACACCCCCCTCCCGCTCATGGGATTTGCCCCGGCAATGCTGAGCCCATCTGGGATGGGATGAGACCCATGGGATTAGCACGCAGTGGTTTGGGACTGCACAAACCCAAACCCCCAGTCTATGAGTTATCCAGGCCAGCTCAGTCAGCCCTTCGTGTCCAGGCCATGGCCCTGGGGACGGGGATGGGGACATACGTGTGGTGGTTAGGCTGACAGTGACCCATCGCCATCCCTCCGACAGCGGGAGGC